AAAAAAATAACTTTATAAATTTTTATAATTCAGAAGACTACTATTTGTGAGAGGCGTGATATCTGGATGGAAGTTGGGCTGGATGACCTCCAAAATCGTTTCAACTCTTAAAGACATCTTAATCCTGAATGGAAAAATTTCTTTGTTACTGTGTTTAGAATCAGACATTGATTTTGGAACTTCAGTAATTTCACCCCACATTTATCTATAAAATTAGTCCTCTTTTTCTTGTTAATAATCAGACACAGTAGTTGTCATGGCATTCTAAATGACCCTTTGAGTCACATTTAAACAAGCTCTACATTGGCAATCACGTTAGTGATGTTTTTCCTTAAGGGGAACTTTTTAATCCAAAGATAGATTAGTGTACAGGAGAAGCTTCCTGTTTGACCATGCAGACTTAAGAACACTTTTCATTTTACTTATAGTGTTAAGAAAGGACTTAAAGGTGAGCTTGGAGGCAGTGTTGTGTTCTAGAGCATACATGTAGGTATGTGCTAAATCTGTCAACAGCTAAATTCTCCCCTCCCTGTGCTTGTTCTTGGGCTCCAAGGGAACAGTGGATTAGACAGCAAGAATCTTTCCAGCCCTTTTTCTCTTTGGCAGCAGGTAAGGCAGAGGGCTGGTTAAAAGATCAACAGACCTTTCTGTATGGGTAAGAGTGGAACAGAAATTGGGGTTGGTCCATTAGCATTAGGAGCAATAGGGTATTTCTTTACCTTGTAGAACTAGCATTACACAAAAAAAAATCAGGTTGATGAAAATCTCATGAAATACAGTATGTGGATTTCTATATACCAATACTCCCATGAGATTAAGTACAAAAAGAATTTTCAGCAAAAATATACACACTTCTCTTGCTTACAAAAGCAAAGCCTTGCAAACTCACTGTAAAAGAGTTTGCGTGCTTCTTTACCCATTTATAGACTTGTGTTTTTAAGCATTCATAATGATAAATTTGGCAAGTCATTTAAAAAAATAACTGTTTTTGTACAGTCCTCTTAAATGGTGTTAAAATTCATCCTAAGAATATATATAAACCACCAAAATGAAAAGTTTGTATTATGCTCTACTGTTAATTCTGTTTCATCATTATATAGAGTAATAGCTTTAGAAGTTATCTTGAAGACATTGTATTCCCACTTGTGGTTCAAGCTGAATTTTGTGGTTCAAACTGGATTTTGTTTTAAAATCAATAAAGTTTTAAAAATCAGCTTCTATGCTGTAATTTTTGTGCCTTTTTCCTTGAAGAAAATTTTTATAAATCTCACACTTCTGTGAAGATACCTACTTACACAATTGTTTTTTACTGACATACATAAAAAGTACTGTAACAAGTTTATTCTTAGCCCTTTATTTTGCTCAATTTGAATTTGCTTAGAAAACAGAGTGTGTATATTTTAAAGTTAAGTGCCTTGATCTTCTAGAACATTGGTTCCAGTTATTTTCCTCATCTACCAAGAAAAAAAAGAATACTTCTATGTAGTGGTATTACTAGATAGCACTCTGTATTGTAGATTTTGCTCTAATCTAGGATTGAAGGAGTAAATCAGGAAAATGTATTACTAGTGAGTACCAGTGTAATTATCATCTTCACAGCAGTGTGTGTTTTCTGTTGGGTGGGTGGGTGGAGGGGGGGAAGTCCAAGGCATTGGTGTTTTTTTTTCTTTATAGTACTTGCCAAAATTTGGAAGATTCATTAAACACATGGGGACAAGTATCAGGTTTGGCTTAATAATAATAACTCAGTTGTTTAACCTTAAGTTTTTAGCTGTATTAGCTGTAAAATACTTGCAAAAGGTATAATACAATTTTCCCTCATTAGGAAGTATGTAGTAACCAGGTTCTACATTCTGGAATTTGCTACCTCATTTGTGTAGTACTTATGAATAAGAAGAGCCAGAAACTGGTCGCTGTGAATAATGACTGGGATGCTTCCCTGCAGTACTACCTACTTCAAAGGGAAAACTGTTGATTAGAAAACTTGTAAGCAGATGTCTTCTTTCCCTGTTAATATATTCGTATTTCTTGTATGTAATAAGAGACAGTAGTCTTCTATATGAACCCACAATAATTTACTTCATTTGAAAAGGCAAATGATTTATTATCAGGATTTTTGATTAAAATGTAGGATGTTTAAATCTTTTTCCAATCCCCTATTCAGCCTTCCTGGTCAAGAGTTTTCTGACAAATTTAAAACCATTTCTACTTTTTATGAAAATTGTTTTCTATATGAAAAGAACACAATTTTAATAATGTTTGTAATTTAATGTATATGGCACAGGCTACTCCATTAACCTCAGCCAAGTGTCCAAAAACTTTATAATAACTAAGGCTACAGGACTTCATTTAGAAGGCTATCAAATGTCAAAATGATTTTTTAGGTTGGTGGACAAAAATTGTAGGACATGTGTTCACATGAAATAGTCTAGACTATTATAAGAGCATATTTAGTGTGATCAGAAGGGATATTAAGAATCCTCAAAGAGTATATATTCTAAAGTATGTGCTGCACTTACTAAAAAAGAGATATGAATACTTTCAGGAAGATTTTCAGTAAGTCTGTGGTGTTTTCAGCATTCTAGTTAATTAAAAATGAAAGATAAAATTAACCAGGATACAGCTTCCTGAATGCTTAAGTTACCTTTTTTGTTAGGGGAGGGAAGGGCTATTCTCCTACTAGTATACTGTAGGCTTTTTTAAAAAAAAATTTTAAGGATTTTATTTATTTGACAGAGAGAGAGATCACAAGTAGAGAGGCAGGAAGAGAGAGACGGGGAAGCAGGTTCCACGCCGAGCAGAGAGCCGGACTTGGTGCTCGATCCCAGGACCCCGAGATCATGACCTGTGCTAAAGGCAGAGGTCTCAACCCACTGAGCCACCCAGGCGCCCCCACTGTAGGTTTTATTTTTTTTTTTTTATTTTTCTTTTTTTTAAGATTTTATTTATTTGACAGATCACAAGTAGGCAGAAAGAGAGGAAGAGAAGCAAGCCCCCTGCTGAGCAGAGAGCCCGATGCGGGGCTCGATCCGAGGACCCTGGGATCATGACCTGAGCCGAAAGCAGAGGCTTTAGCCCACTGAGCCACCCAGGCGCC